TTGATAGGAGGGCTGATGATGATCAGAACAACAGATAACAACAATACGGATATTTTGTTTTTTGGACAAGTAAACAAAAACAAAACGACAACACATTGGCCTAAAGAAAGAATTCTTTTTTTATCGACCCATTAAAACTTACTGTTCCGTCGGAAGCACTTGCACCAACACGAGTACCTCGATAACCATGAACAATGTGTCGTCGCTGAAAAGCAAACAGTCATCATAACATCATAAATATCAAGTATGATTTGAAATTATTTACTGCAATATCTCAAATATAAATCGCTTTATCAAATGAACCAGTTGCTAATAAACGACCATCTGGACTGAAAGAAACTGAATAAACAGGTTCTGAATGTTTTAGAAGTATATTTTGAGAAACACCACGTTCAACATCCCATAAACGTACAGTTGAATCAAATGATGCACTATATATACGTAAAATTTAAAGATATAAAAAAAACAATTTGTCGTTAAATAATACCTTGCTAAAAGTAATGTTGCATTTGGATTCATTGTTCCTGAACCAGTTGGACTCCATTTAATTGTATAAATTTCGTTATTATGTGCTTGTAAATTATGAACAGGTGTTTCTTTTGGCATACTCCAGGTCTAAATAAAAATAACAAATACAGTCGAGTATGATTACTTTCATTGCGATTTACTTTTAATGTCATATCATCAGAACATTGTGCAAGTAAACGTCCTAGTGGATCCCATTTAGTAGCATGAACTTCATTTTGATGTCAGTGGAATACTTTAAGAGAGGGTCCGCGGAACCACTTAGCAACTCGGCCGCCGGTAAAATTTTGATTTTCGGTTTAACTATTTTAAATTGAAGGTCTAGTCAAACCATAAGTGAATCCAAAATATTAGATCTTTCTAATGTACCGGAGAAAAATGCCAGCGTCTGCAAGTTATACACCATTTATATTTGGTCAAAAAATGAAGCTTTTAGGGCCTTAGTAGTATTTTATACTTTCATCCGCGTCCGCTCCATCGGTTGACTTCGAAAATGTCTCAAAAGATAGAGAAATGTTTTCTCTACAAAACCTACTGACTGGTTTATTTATCCAGTGTCATATATCAGTAGATAATACCAATACACAGAGAAAAATTACGATTGGTTAAAATGGGGATTTTTCAGTATTTTGACAATAACCATGCCGGATCATGCCATCCAAAAATAGTTCACATATTTTCTGAAACCCCTTGAAATTTTGCATCTTCTATAGTATTGCTTATTCAGATAAAAGTTGAGCGAAAATAGTTACTCTACAACACAAATGTTGACATTGAATATTTTTCTGTGTTCAATCGGATCCTAGATTAGTCGACTATATTTTATATGATTGTTCGAATCAAAAATATGATTTCAGATTCGTGATCAGCACAAAAAGTTGACCATGAAAGGATCATTTGATTAAATACAAAGTTATCTAAACGAAAAAATGCCGACAGCGTAGCAATAATTTGAAGAATTTTTTGGAATAATTTCTCGTATGTCTATCTAATCATTAAGTCAGAAATCTAGAAATAAGAATTTTGCTTTATTTAGAATCTCTGAACTATCAGCTTGAAAACTTGCTGTTTATTTTTCTCGGTTCATGCTTTATCTTGACCGTGTGGATGTGACTGTATTCTTAACTCAACCACACCCACACCCAACTACATAAATAATATGGATGAAATGGAAAATTTTCATTTGAGATGTGGAGTAATTTTACTCTAAACATACAGCAGGAATTTGAGTTCTAGGTCCCCGACAAACATTTTGTCTTTCTTGAGCAAAGTGATTGTATATTTTTGATGATCAATTTTCAAAAAAATTGGGAACTCTCCTTAACTCTGACTAATTTTGTAAGAATCCTCTGATCAATCACTTAAGTCATTGAAAGTCTTGATCTCATCTAACCTTGGCAGCCTGCGATATTCGTGACTCCGAATTATTCTAAATCATCTCCATTTGTACATACTGAATGACTATTTTTCTATAATATTCAAGTAACTTTCAAGCATAAGAAAAATCATATAAAGCAAACTAGTTACATAAATGTTTTACATTCAATTTGATTTCAATAGTATTCAATGAATTCGAAAAAAAAGATACGTTTAGTAGTAGTAGTATTTAAATAGTCACCTAGCTGAGCGATCAGTCGAATTCTTTACTATCTGTTTTCATTTATGCTTGGAATCAGTTGTCTAAACACTTTGTCTGTTTTTCTCTTTACAATAACTAATATATTTATGTATGCATATTCAATCGAAAAAGTACATTTTTGTGAAAGTATACTGATTATAGTGAATTTCCCAAGGTGAACTCACGGATGGGTGTGGGTGTGGATGTTAGTGTAAGTGCACTGAATTCCGGAACCGTTGGGAATTAGGCGGAATCGGTTTTAATTCCGTGTAATTCCGGAATTGAATCGGAAGGGATAAACGGAATTTCGGGAATTAGATGGAATTGGTTCCGGAATGTTCCACATTGCGGAATAGGATGTATTCTCTGTTCGATCAGATCAGCTCTTTTAAAAGAGGCTGTTCAAAACAATCAGCTCCTACCGAACTGAACTTTCGAACAGTTCCTTCGCTCAGAACTAGAGCTGAACTATTGCACCCCTACATACGACCCCGTGGCGGTTTATCACCTGATGTGTGTGATGTTTTCGTAGTATTTGCGTGAAATATAGAGACTCAGCGGTTTGTTGACTTCTGAATTTGGATATAGAAACAAATTAGCGAAAATTTATTATTACTTAGAAGTAGACTTACCTAAAACGCCATCTCTATCTTGAGCTAAAAATACAAAAACGAATAATTCTTTCATTTGCTAAGAGAGAACTAACCTAGAACAAAAAACAAATCGAATATATTAAATTACAAACGATCAAATTCACCTGAAATTCCATCTTTGCTGCCTTCTATAATTAAACAGAATACATTTCTGAAATTTTATGAAATAAAATTTACCTGAAACCTTCTATATGAATGAATCAATAACAAAGAAAAAAATTATTCTCTTTCATCGCATCAAACATACCCCAGAATTGACGCTAGATTTGAAATAAAAAGTGAACCATGTGAAATTTGGACTCCAGATCAGCGGATTTTCTCAGCCAGGGACGCTCGACTGAAACAACTGACAACGGATTTGGACTCTTCGACCCCGATAAGCTATAGGAAAGTTTCATCAGAATTTCGATTAGAGTTGAAATAAAAAGTCTGCCTTGTGAAATTTGGACTCCATCTTGGCAGATTTTCTCCGTTATGAAAGCTCAGAGAGAAAAAATGATAACGGATTCGGACTCTGGGACGCCAATAAGCTATTGAAAGTTTGATATAGATAATAAACCGGTGAAACGTTTATTGCAAAAACTGAGAAACCTTGAGATAATCGAGGAAACGGGCGCTGGCTTGGTCGGTATTTTACAAAATCTTAAAGCGCACTAGAAAGGGTGAAAAAGTTGCGTAGAAATAATACGAAAATCTTGCATCGTGACCAAAAATATCAGTCGGTTTGTGGAAAAGATTCCAAAGCTCGGGAGTGTCTGCGAAAGTTTCAGTGGTTTGGTACAAAATATACGAAACTTTGGCATGGATAAAAAAAGTGGGAACCGTTCAGTTCAAAAAGTACAAAACCCTCGAATGTTCTACGAAACCAGGAATTGTTTTGCAGAAAATATTCCAAATCTTTTGACAGTTTAGGGAACCAGCAATGGTTCCGTGGACATATTACGAAACCTTAAAGCCGAGTAGCAAGTGCCAAACAGTTCGGCACAAATAATGCGAAACCTTCGGGTTGCCCGCGAAACTAGCAGTGGTTCCGTGGGTATAAGATGAAACCTTCTGGCATTTCACAAAACTATCAGAGGATTGGTACATGACGTACGAAACCACAAATCACTTTTCGGAACCTTCGAAGAGTTCAGGCGCAAAATTGCGAAACCTGATGAAACCTGTTGAACTTAAAATAGTTCTGAAAGGAGACCACGGAACATTTTTCACTCCACGGAACTTAAAATCGTTCGGTGGAGAAGTGCAGAACTATTAAGGTTCGGTAGAGTACCGATTTTTTTAGAGTGCACGTTCGATGCTGTTCATGAACAGCTATCATAATATCGAAAAAGTGTTATTCTGGCCCGATTTGGCATCGAGTCATTATGCTGCAAGTGTAATCGATTTTTTCGAATAGAAAAATATCAATTTGGTACCTAAAGAAAAAAATTCACAAAATTGTCCTCAGGCACGTCCTAATGAAACAATATGGCAACTTTCAGACGAAAAAGTTTATGGCGGTTGTTGGCAAGCCAAAACGATCGACCAATTGAAACGAAGGATTCAGCAACAGCTGAAAAGAATTGACATGAAGTCTGTACAATAAATGTTTTCGTCAATAAGAAAGCAATTACGAAAAATCGCAGACAAAGGACCATTCGCAGCTTGCTCGTTTAATTTTTAGTACATGTGTGTACGTACTTTCGTTTAATATGTTTAGCTTAAAATTTAAGTTCTTGTTGAGAAAAAAAAATCATACCAAGACTTCCGCGCCATACGTTATGTCGGTGGTACATCTAGAACTTTCTATTTTTCATCCCATTTATTATTTTTTCTCTTTTATGGTTCTTACACTATTTATTGCAAGTGTCTGCACTGCATGTATTTTGTGAAACACGACCTGAAAGGAGTGTTGAAGTGTTTAGGGTAGAAATTTTGCACCCGCCACCCTCTCCCCCCACAGATCGTTACCTTCTGTTTGGTAAAAAGTAGCATTTTTTCTACAAAAACGAATTCGACGCCGTCAACAACCAACTGTATTCCTTTGAAATATTTACAACTATACAACCATACGAAATCAAGAACGCCAATTACTCACAAATTTTTAATATGAGTCATTTTTTCTTTATTGTTGTGCTTTTGTTTTACTTCTTCTGGTGCTTATTCTTTTTCCAACTATAAACAAATCGATAAGAAACAAATTTTTCATGCTTCAATCGAAAAAAAACAATGCTTATGGTCTCCGAGATACTTTGGCAATATTTCATTTTAAAATATATACGGTTTTGCGTTTGTAATGTCTGATAAAAGTGTTTCAAGCTACATAAGCGTCATGATAAACCCGTTTACATTGGCATAAAGTTGCTTTGTAATTTCAGTTTGTGATTCCTGTTGAAAGAATATGTCAAACACTGTCTTCAAGGGCATATACAATGATGTGGGGACCAAGTTAGTTCTCTAATCTCAAACGTATTTATCATTCACAACGTATCCAGTCTCAAACTTGAGGGTGTGGGTGTGGATATTAATCGAATGTTCACATACATCCACTATGTTCATGTAAATCGAAACGTTAAACATCTATCAAATTTCTCGTTAATTCGCATGAGTTATACGCCAGCAACATTTTTCAATTTTTCGAAAGACTCATAGTAAAAAAAATTATGATATGTGCTTTTTTTGAGCATAACTACATAACATATGAGGCATAAGTGTCAGTTTGAATACATCATTAATGGAGAAGATATTTCTAGAAACAATTGTTTCTTTACTTCTAGCCTTCGTTTTATATTTTTAATGATTAAGTTTTTATTAAATCTCTATGGAGTCAAAAATTTCGAATAAGCTAACATCAGATGTGTCTGGATCAGAGGAAGCATTTGGAACACTCAATTTATTACGCTGTCGTTGATGCTTCTCCCTTTTTCTCTTCCATCGTACAGTATATTCCAAAGCTTGTTGTCTTAAAAATAAATTCTCACTTTGTCTCATTTGTCGAAGAAGAGTTTGGCATTGTTCTCGATCAGCACCTGGTTGATTAAATACATGACTTTTAAGTAAATCGAAAACAAATAATCCACAATCTTTTTCTTTGATAAACCATTGAGCTAAATCAAGTTTCTCATTAACAGTTAATTGTTGGACAAAACAATTAGACTTTTTATTTGAGAGAATTTCTGCTAATCGTATTAAAATGTTCTCAAAATAATTTTCAGACAAATTCTCTTGAAAGAATATTAACATTGCTTTAAGATCATCTCTATTTTGAGCTATTTTGATTAATAGTGTGCCAATAGTCAAAGTGAATGTTTTATCAAATTGAAGTATAATCGGTGCAAGAGAACGAAAAGAGAGTTTTTTCTCATTATCGAATTGATTAATACGATCAATAAGAATAGTTAAAATACGATGAATACGATGATAAACTGGTAAATCATGTTGATTATCAATAGCATTTTCTTTCGAATCAACTTCTGCTCGAATAGACACCAGTTTTTTAATAATATCAATTATTTCATTTGATGATGATCTATTAAAAACAGAAAAGAATTTTGTAGACTCATGTTTGTCTTCAACTTACATTTTTTGCTGTTTATAATATGAAATTATTTTATTGAAAGCGTTCTCCCATAATGTATTCGCATTTTTATCAAATTGAACACACAATTGTTTAACCTTTTCAATTAAGTTTTGTACATCGCAATGTTCACAATCAATATTGGCCCAAGCCCATAAACGTGCTTCTAATGATGTTGGATGATCCAATATTCTAAATTGAATTCGATTAATAAATGTCTGAAAATTGTCATCAGAAGAAGTTATCAATCGAGATAACGGCCAACGAGAACTTCCTCGATGAGCCGAAAATAGAGATTGAACCACTGGAAGATAATTGTCATCTGCTGCTTCTTCTAAAATTTTCCAGACTAATGTTTTGTCTTCTTTTGATTGTAATTTATTAATAAAATTAAGCAATGTTAAAATGAGACAAGCACGAACATCTTCATGAGGTCGACTATCCCATAAAGGTTTTATAACAGATTTTAGCAAACTTGAATTGGATGTATATTCATTTAATAAACGAAGAATTTCTTTATTGGCTGTTATACCTATTATATAAAGGAAAGTTGTTAGCATAATTTTTCGGGAATAAAAATGCGGGACGTTACAGAAATGTGCTTTTTTATGAATCAAAGATTTAGTAAAATGTTTTTCAATATGTTTAATGTGTCATTAACATCAACGCAGAACTGACCTTTCGTGATCGCGGTCTTAATAGAAAACAAAAACTGTTGCTATTGGAATACTCAAAATAGTATCATATTGGTTGTCTTTGGTTCAATTTTATTTCGTTGTACGTTTACGGAGGCATGGTTTTTATCACAGATAGTATCTTGCGAGAAGAATATTTTTGATTCTCACTCTCGTCATACTTTCTCGACTTCTATTACGATATAATTTTTGTGTATATTCGAAAGAGCCCCCCATCACCAAACGTTGCACTTGATGGAATGTGATTTAACTTTATATTTAAAAGAAAAAAAGAAATCCCAGTTTCAATATGATCGCATTCTCGAGCTATTTGGTTTACCTAATTTTTGAAATTGCTCATTACAAACCAGATCAAGATAATGTTTTAGAAATATTTTATCAGGTAGTCGACGTGATATAGTTAGCATAGCATCGCTAATATATTTAGCATTTGATGCGTTTAATTTCATTTTTAAGAAATGGAATTGTTTAAGTAACTGTTGCGTTGTTAAATCAAAAGTAGCTGGTAAACATATAATTATATGGTCAAGTGGGTCAATATCATTACTAATATTTTTCTGTGACAATACTAACCACCGAAGCGATTGATCATATGTATGTGTTAAACGATGAAGAACACGCAATGATTTTTATTTCTTTGGATTAGCCACTTCTTTATCCTAGAATACAAAACAACTTGTTTTTCAATTTGCTTTTCAAATTGAAATATATTTACCTGAAGAAAATCATGTAAAATAATTTTTGTAATATGTTCTTGCTGTTTTCCGGTTAAGTAATGAAAAGAACAATTTAAAACATGAATACTCAATCCTGGTAATTTGATATTCTTTGTTTCAGCTTTCAAATTTGTCGCTAGTTTAGTTGCTTCATTTGATAGTTTTTCAAATGTAACACATTTATCATCTTCAACTAATTTATCTATTAATAGAGAATGTTGTCGAGAACGCAGAGCTATTTGTTGAACAATATCATTTAGTAAAAAAATCTTATCAATCTTATTAATCAAATGATTAACACGTTCACATCGCGTCGAATGACTTTTTAAAAATATTAAAATAATTGAGGAATGTTCATCAATTCGAAAAGCGGCTTGAAGTTTTGTGGATGAAGGAAGATAATCAATAAAAAATGAATTAACAAATGATTCGATTTGTGGTAAACGCCATGACTTCTCGAAATAACAATTCAACGAATCATCTAATTCATTTAACATATATTTTGAAAGGAATTTCGGAAATACATCAGAAATAATAATATCCGCTATAAGATTACATGCTATTGGATATGCATTAGACAAGCATGAAATTTGAAGCTTAAGAGTATCATTCATTGAAAAACATCTAAGAAAGAAAATAGAACATGATCTATAGTTATCTTCTATGTCACACTTGTTCTGATTCTGAACCATGAGATAAAAAGAAAATGCAGAGCAAGATATTCTCCCGGGCTTCTACGGAAATGTTATATATAGGATTGATCATCGTATTATAAAATAAGATGTTCAGTCATCAAGCTAATTGCTAGAGGATTGCAAGGCAAAACTATGGCGTGATGATAATTGAAATCAGTTTCTCACCTTTTAATGATTTTACAAGCAAATGTTTGGATTTTCTCTTTTTCTTCTTTATTTAGATGATATTCCACGCGTTGCAGTAATAATATTCCATGGTTAACAATAATTTGTAGGGTATATGCAGTTTTTTGGAGATGATTAATAGCAAGTTCAATAATAGCTTCGATTATTTCGAAATTATTTGGTAAAATTTTAAGATGAAATCGATTATTATATCTTGATAAGCTATCTAGAAAATTTTCAATAATTGCAAGTCGTTCATTAGTGCATCGTTTTTGAATCCATTGAAGAACATTTTTAACTTGCTCGTCATTTGTTGACACCGCACATTGGAGGAAAAGAAGATAATTTTGTTCACGTTGCTTTACATTCGAATTAGTCTGGTAGAATAAAGTTAAAAATTGATCGAAAATATCTTTTGTCATGAATTGATAACGAATGAGTGATAAACGATGACTTGCAGAAACAGTTTTATTTGTTTCATATTGAGAAATTAAATAAAGAGAAAGTGGTGTTGTTATTTCAGTATATTCTTCGAACAATAGAAGAGTTTCTTCATTTCCTTCTTTTAATAATTTATCTATAAATAATTCTTTTCCAATACGTTCATTAATAACAATATCAAGTAACCATTTTCGTCGTTTTCGACTACTATAAAGGCCTGAATATCTTTTACTACATTCTAGCACACAATGAAGCAGACGGATTGTATGATTTTCTGACCATTTACATGTATCATATAAAGCAAAAAATAGACGAGTATAATGGTCAACAGAAAATGAACGTGGAAAGGCAAATGAATATAGATCGGATCCTTCAGCATTCCAAGTTGTTTGATATTTAATAGTGCCTATAAATAGCAAAATAAAGCATATCCCAGAAGTTCTGAAACGCTTCTTAATGTTAGCAAAATAAATAAAAACCTGGTTGATTCGATGCTACAATTGTAATCAATTCAATCATTTCATCTGGCACTTTCTTAAAAAGATAATTTTGATTTAATTCAATAAAATATGGCAATAATCTTTTATGTTTTTCTAATTGATTCATATATTCAATTGTTAAACGAAGTATTGCTTTTGCTTGTTTTCTTGCAAGTAATGATAGTAATCTATTGTTTTCATGAAAATAATTTGAGAATTTTTCATTATTTATTCTTTTTTCATTTAAATCACATTGAATCAAATGAATAATAATAAGAGGTTGATAGTGAATTAATCGCGAACGAAATAACGATGAAGAATCAATTTGTTCTAAGCGTTCAATTGACCACCGGGATAGAAGATTTAATATTTGATCTTTTGAACAAAATGGCACTAAATGAGCATCAAGATTATATTGGTCATGATGATACGATTCAGTTAAACGACAAGCAAGATTGTAAAAAAACGATGAAGACTTTTTTAAACAATCTATTCGATGAAGATTGTCTAAAATTTTATGTTTAAAACTAATGAAACGAAGTTTTTAATTTAATTATTTTTAATGATAAACTTACAATCGAGAAATATTTCTATCATTCATTGTTTCAAGAATAAATTCATAAATTTTTTGTTCATCTCTTTGAATTTTAAGCCAACCTTTACCAGCAATAATTCGTTGTATTATTGGTAATGAATCTGTTTTAAATATGTCGAATAAATTCTTTTCATTTTTTGTTGATTTTGATAAAAATATTAACATTTGTAAATCTTCATATGATGTTGATTGCCTTAAATATTGTTCTATTTCAGTTTTATCTGATAATGATAAAACATATTTCATACGATCGTTCCATGCACCTTCAGTTTTTAATAATTCATATTTGTTAATTGTAGACATTTTTGTTGTTTTGTTTTCTAAATCTAGAAAAATTACAAATAAGGAGAATAATATTGATGCAACCAAGGCCTCGTGACTTGTTTTTACTTCGTAAATAGAAACTCTGAGTAACACATGTTTTGTTATTTCGCAATTGGTTGAATAATGTTCTTTTCTCTTAAACATAAACGAAGATAGGATTTTATCTTCGTACTACAGTAACACATAGATTGATCAAATAAGGTTTACAGAACCCAAAAGTGCACAGAAACATCTTTAGATCCAAGGAGTCAGTAAAAAATCATTTCTTATTGAAAATAGCCGACATATTTTTAATACAGAAAAAAGTTTCATGGTGGTAAAGCGTCTAGTGTGGGTGCAGATATCTTTTTAATTTGCATTCACCCACATCCACACACCCTTTAATTAAACATTTTGAAACATTTCATTGACTGCTGTTACGATTGATATCGTTGAAAGTAGGAATTGGAGTATAAATTGGTCAACACGAATTGTATACATTGTATAGTCGTTTTTAGTAGTGATGCTATAATTGGGAATGTGATAGAGTTGAAGTGTAACAGATTTGATAATCGAATGCTATTTTATGACATTATTGAGGTAATTTAGAATTGCTCACATGTTTTAAATTCAGATCTAGTAATGAGTTTTGAATAAGTTTGTTATGTTGAGAGGTTAGAAAATCAAATGAATGCAATCTATCGATGAAGATTTCATTCATTAATAATTCGAATACTGTAATCGTGCTTAGTTCAATCATCATGATGAAATATTCTTGGTTTCTAACTTCTCCATTTTACACTTTCATGCAAAGTAAATTATTTTCGTAAGACTACTTCGTCATTGATATAGAATTTTGTCGATGAAACATTGCGGATCTTTGATGAATGTGCGATTGTTGATTCAGATTTTCTAGATAGAGGGATATATACTGATGAGCAATCAGGCTTCACACCAAATAGATGTGTGCAATCTCGCATTCTGTCACTCTGTGAAGACTTACGACTAACTGTAGCAGCAAATAATCGCCCCGCGTTATTAATATTTGTTGATTTTCTCTCCGCATTCGATAACATGTGATTTCCTGCCTTGATAGCAAATGTAGTTGAATTAGATATGTCATTCCTATTGATAAAAAGGATTTATCAATGGCTTCAAGAAAGAACTATGAGTATACATCATGGAGATTCACAATCGAAAATAGTAAAACTACACATAGGTGCCCCACATGGTTCAGTTCTAGCTGCAACACTGTTTAGAATTCATGTTCACTTCCTTCCTGAATATTTTTTTCGTTTTTGTACGCATTTATTTGCCGATGATGTAGCGATTCTTTTAAAAGGCTCATTAGAAAAAATTTATCTCAAAATATAATCGAATTAGAAAAACAAGCTAAAATAGCAATGCATACCCTTTTATCCTTTTCAGAAAATTACTGATTACCTATGAACGTGAGAAAAACAAAAGCAATGCTACCCAGTCAGATAGAAGTCTTCGAAAAACGAGTTATAACAAGTTAAAATTTCATAAAACCGGCGTATTTACGATTTCCTGCGTTTTCTCGTCTACATCTCTTAATAGATTTTTTTACGACCCTCTCCAGATAAATATGTGCTTCTTTAACACATGCGCATATAAAGATTTTCAAATTTGTGAATAATTTTTTAAAAATCTGGAAAATATATACGTTATAGATTGCTAAAAAATAAAAAATATGTTAGAAACTTTGTGAAAAAATTAAACCTAAAATTTTAAAATGTTTATCAAATGCTTTTTAAAGAAATATATTTCTAAGGTTAATTTTTCATAATTTTTTAAATATTAAAAAAATCTTTAGAAATATATTTAAAAAAATTATGTATCATTTTAAAAATATCCTTGAAACGCTGAAATTTTTTTTAAATATTAAACAAAAAGAATTTTTATTTCCAAAGAAATAGTTTTTTAAATGCAAGATATTGCTATGTTTTTTGATGAAAACTAAAAATATAGTAACAATTGTTCGTCTCAACTTTATACCACCTTCAGGTTCCTATAAAATTTCGTTCGATTTAAGTAGTATTTGTTTTACTTCCTCTTTTTATTGTACGATTGACCGAATGGATAACATCTCGGACTATCAACCAATACATCTCATGATCGAATCTAGGACCGCGCAATAAGTTCCAAAAGCTTTAACTATAATCTGGTAGATAAACTACAAGAGAAAAACGTTGTGAAATACATTCTAAACTCAAACGGAAACGAATCATAGGGTTCTAACTTTTTTAGCATCATTTTTTCTGAAAGTTTATTCACGGGTTAAAACGCGCTAAACTTCTGAACGCTAAACAACGCATTACTGTTTTAACAAAAAACAAATCCAAAAAATGGGCGTTTTTTTCCGATTTATTATCCGTTCAAGTTTTAACGCGTTTTTTTAAGGCGTTTGTCTGACTGGGCGGTGAACGGTTCACCGTCACCGTTGCACCCCGAATTTAGTATAGTTAATTTGGAACATAGTTTATTATAGGCAAAAGAAAAACACTAAAAGAAATAAATTAATTTTCAGCTATTTGAATAACTGCTTTTCCAAAATTTTTTCCTTGAAATATTCCAACTATGGCATCAGGAGCATGTTCTAAACCTTTGGCTACATCTTCCTTAATTTTCAGTTCTCCATTAGCAATCCATTTTGGAACTTTTGAATAAAATTCTTGATGAAAACTTGGATCTTTTAGTTTATCAAAGACAATAAGACCTTGAAGTTTTAATCGTTTGACAACAATTAGCATAAGATTTCGAATACCATGTGCGTCGGGTGTATTATATTGAGATATCATTCCACATTCAATAAATCGAGCATAATTATCAGCAGCATGAAGTGCAGCTTCAAGTTGATCACCACCGACATTATCAAAATAAATATTTAATGGATCAAATTTAGCAAGTTCAGCTTTTACATCAGCTGTTTTATAGTTAAACGCATGATCAAAATTGAGTTCTGTTTGAAGCCATTTTACTTTATCATCTGAACCAGCTGATCCAATGACTTTCAAACCTTCACGTTTAGCTATAAAAAAAGAAATGAATATATTATTTTTTAAATAGATACGGAATTTATTTACCCAGTTGTCCAACAATTTGTCCAACAGCACCAGATGCACCAGTAATAAAAATTGTCTCGCCTTTTTTCGGTTCTCCAATGTGATAAAATCCATGATATGCTGTTTGTCCAGGCATTCCAGCAGCTCCAACCCATGCTGTTAAAGGTATACCAAGTTGAAGTTCTTCGTCACTTATAATTCGAAGTAAGTCCGTTGAAGCTGTTGGATGAACAGTATATTCTTCATAAACTCCAAACCCATAAACATATTGATCAATTTTAAATCTAGAATTATCAGATTTAACAACTTTTCCGACGAAAAAATTGGTTAATGGTTGATTAAGTTCAAATTCATGTGAATAACTATTTTTTCCGGCTGCTCTCATTCGACCTCGCATGTATGGATCAACAGATATGACAAGATTTTTTGTAACAATGCCACCTTGTGTATCGACCGTATCGAGATCAATTGTTCGATCTTGAACATATTTAAGATGTTTGACAGCTTCTGGATAACCAGAAGGGACTTCTGCAAAGATAACAGCAGCGTTTTGAATAGGAGCCATTGTTGTATTCACGAGATATTTCAATAACTAGATGTGCGTGTATGTGTGGGAACGTGTAAAGCGAAAGAAAAAATGCTGGCTTTTTATAGAGTATAGTAAATATATGTCGTCATCGTGATTACTCACATTAGAATGACAAAATTGTTTTCACTCTTTCTGCATATGCCAGAGATAGTAGACATAGTGAATAAAAGAGAAAAAAAAGAAATCGTTTGATCTATGTGGTTAAAGTATAAGAACTGACAGCAGTTTCACCTGAAAATAAAAATAACTGCATACTTTATCGTTCTTGTTCTCTTGCCATTTTACAGTTTGAAAGTTGACACGATATATGACATTCTGGATTGAGGGAAGAGTATTTTAGGTGTCTATACTTGCTTAAAAAGCAAAAAAAACACGATTCAATGAAACGAATGTATTCAATTTATTCTTCATTGATATGCAAAACTAAAAAAGAAGATTCTACAACAATGAAACACTCTTTATTATTTATGCGGTATCATATTCAAAAACTTTTCTTGTACTTACCTTTTACTGATTTAAAACTAAATATACGAACTTAATGAAGGCACTGTGTACATCATCAATGGTAACATGATTGAGGTACAAGAATACGATCCAATACAATATTGAAGATACTGACAGAAATAATGATGTATTTCTGCTTGTCTTCAATTGAAGGCAGTGGTATCCAAGAGGTTATTATAGGTATAGAAGCAAGATCGAAGCAAATCCAATTCAACGAGTATTATCAATGCGATGAAACACCCAGATAGTTTATCATTTACAGTTGCTAAACTAAAAAATGATACTTTATAAACTTTTTAAATTTCTTGACTCATATTCAGTCTCTGTTAGAATATTAACATTAACTCATACAATAATGCATGTCCTTCCTAGTCGGAATCTTCTAAAATATGTTTCGACCATTTTTCCACATCTATGTTATGTTTTTCGACAGTCTTACGTCCAACCGATGAAACAACCAAAGACGAGCATTACGATGACCTGATACTGTCATACAACCTTTGGAAACGACTTAAAACTACCCTCTCCCTGACACATGCCACCATTTTTCAGCATTACTGCGGAGCTCCAGTGAGTTCTCCAAGATATATCCTGATATGATGATGGACAACAAAGTGTAGATCAGTATCAGCTATATATTTCAGCCACTGTGTGTATAATAGTAACAACAATTCCACACGATCTTCTTGGAACTTGACTTGTTTAGAAGTGAAGTCGGCTCAACGGCCTTTCTACTGCTCTAATATTACTCTTCTTGTACTGCTGTCTATTTCACATATAACGCGAGTTTATATACTACGAGAGAGAGAGAGAGAGAGAGAGAGAAGATACATAGAGAGAAAATGATATAGGGAACGATTACGTATTGTTTTTGAGGGTGATTATGTGTCGTCATATACAAGGATGTCCATTAGTTCTATGACTTATGAGCGAACGTCCAGTGGTTTATATAACCCCTATCTAATCTTGTCCTTTACGAGGGACGTACTTCTTGGCACACAAACATATTCTAGATTGTAAGAAATGTGTGCGATTTTCTAAATAGGAAATTGTAACGAAATATTTGTTTTGGGTCGGTACTTATTTGTAGATAAATCAATGAGTTAAAATATAACGTTACGAATTCACTGATGTTTAATTTGAATAATAAGATGAATACACACAATGAACAATAAACTGGTATAAATGAGATAAATTGAGTGTTGAGCCGTAATTATAAAAAGAATGATTGCGATACAACAGTGCCACGGCAATGATCCCTATCTTTCGTTTGATATGTCTAGCTACGTAACTACTGTTTCTAATCTTCTAAGTATTCTCCTTCTTGTTACTATCCTAACTAAAAATGCCCACCTATTCCACCAATTTCTCGTCCTTTTATATACTCGCTCTTTTCTCTTTCTCGATTTCATTTTCTATTTCCCTACCTGTTGAAAAAGGGAAAGTGCGCGCTATATAACGAGTGACCACTCCCATGTCTATGCATATATTTATCCATAATTATACATCCATATATAGATTACTTTGGTGGTTGGTATGAGCTTATGTGATCAACTAATGTCATACTCTCTCCGAGGGCATCTTGATAATTTTCCGCGAGCATTCTGATTTGGTGTAAAATCTCCAGGTAATTCCTCGGCAACTGTTGTAATATTTAAGTGCGCTCGCTTACTACTCTAACATAGGCGGTGGAGCCATTAGACGTGGGTAAGCGCAAGCCTACCCTAGAATAAAAGTAGGTAGGCTTGGGTAGACTCAAACTATAAGAATTAAACGCTTGAGTAGGCTCTATTACATGTAAACGTATCTTCTTATAGTTCAGTTTTTGTTGTCATGACAGATGACGCATTATTACACAACATTATATTTGACAGT